TGGACGAGGCTCCACAGTCGGGTAGACCTGTTGAAGTTGATAGCAATCAAATCGAGACATTAATTGAGAAAAATCAACATTATACCACACTGGAGATACTGGACATACTCAAAATATCCAAATCAAGCATTGAAAATCATTTGCACCAGCTTGGTTATGTTAATCACTTTGATGTTTGGGTTCCACATAAGGTAGGCAAAAAGAAACCTTCTTGACCATATTTCCCCATGTGATTCTCTACTTAAACGTAATGAAAACATTCCGTTTTGAAAACAAATTGTGATGGTTGATGAAAAGTGGATACTGTATAATAATGTGGAACAGAAGAGATCATGGGGCAAGCGAAATGAACCACCACCAACCCACCAAAGGTCAGTCTTCATCCAGAGAAGATGGTGTTGTGTATATGGTGGGATTGGAAGGGAGTCCTCTACTATGAGCTCCTTCTGGAAAACCAGACGATTAATTCCAGCAAGTACTGCTCCCAGTTAGACCAACTGAAAGTATCACTCCATGAAAAGCATCCAGAATTAGTCATCAGAAAACTCATAATCTTCCATCAGGATAACGCAAGACCGCATGTTTCTTTGATGACTGGGCAAGAACTGTTACAGCTTGGCTGGGAAGTTCTGATTCATCCACCATATTCACCAGACATTGCACCTGCAGATTTCCATTTATTTCAGTCTTTACAAAAATCTCTTAATGGAAAAAATTTCAGTTCCCTGGAAGACTGTAAAAGGCACCTGGAACAGTTCTTTGCTCAAAAAAGATAAGTTTTGGTAAGATGGAATTATGAAGTTGCCTGAACAATGGCAGAGGGTAGTGGAACAAAAGGTTGAATACGTTGTTCAATAAAGTTCTTGGTGAAAATGAAAAATGTGTCTTTTATTTTTACTTAAAAACCGAAGGCACTTTTTGGCCAATCCAATAGTTCCTCTGTTCCTTTCTTCTTTTCTTGCTCTCTTCCTTTGTGATTTGATGATTTTCTTTAGTGGTACACTTACATTCCTTTCTCTTTTGTGTATATACTATAGGCTTTTGCTTTGTGTTTATCATGAGGCTTATATATAACAACTTATAACAGTCTATTAAAATTGATAACACGTTTGATCCCATTCGAAAGCTCTATATTTTCACTCTTCTCTCCATGTTTTATGTTTTTGACATCACATTTTACACCTCTTTATCTTGTGTATAGTCCCTAATTAATTATTGTAGTTACAGTTATTTTTAGTACTTTTGTCTTTAACCTTTATACTAGCTTTATAAGTGATTAATCTACCACCTTTATATTTACCTTTATCAGTGACAAAGGTACTTGTACTTTTCATATGTTTTCCTGTTACTAATTAGTGCCCTTTCTTTTGAGCTTAAAAGAAGTCCCTTTATTATTTCTTTTAAGGCCAGTTTAGTGGTGATGAACTCCTTCAGCTTTTGCTTGTCTGGAGAACTCTTTCTGTATTCTTCACTTCTGAAGGACAGTTTTGCCCGGTAGAGTATTCTTGGTGGGAAGTTTTTTTTACTCTTAGCATTTAGAAAAATCATGCCACTCCCTTCTGGCCTGCAAAATTTTTGCTGAAAAATCTGCTGATAGTCTTATGGGTTTTTTGTGTGTGTGTCACAGGTTTTCTCTTGCTGTTTTAAAGATTCTCTCCTTGTCTTTAACTTTTGCCACTTTAATTATAATGTGTCTTGGCATGGTTTTGTTTGCGTTCATCTTTTTTGGAACTCTCAGCTTCCTGGCAGGGTTATCTTCCTTTTTATGGCTAAATAATATTCCAGTGTGTGTGTGTGTGTGTGTGTATCACATTTTCTTTATTCATTTGTTGATGGGCACTTAGGTTGTTTCCATGTCTGGGCTATTGTAAATAATGCTGCTATGAACATGGGGATGCAGATATCTCTTCAATATAGTGTTTTCATTTCCTTTGGATATATTTCTGGAAGTGGAATTGCTGGAGCACGTGGTAGTTCTATTTTTTATTTTTTGAGGGACCTATATACTGTTTTTCCATAGTGGCTGAACCAATTTACAATGTGGGGCAACAGCTTTAATGTAGGTAACCATATGCAAATGAATCATTGCTGAAAATTATCAGTATTAATTATCACAGGTTAAGCTTTATAACCTGGCTGCATAGGCAGCTGCTGACTTGTATCAGGGGCCCAGGGAGCCTTTCAGGTCCCCTCCTCCCACTAAAACCAGCTCCAGTTCCCAGATGCTTGAAATTCTATCATTTAGGGCTTTCTGACCTCTTCAAATCCAAGTATCCTTGGGCAGAAGCACTAAATATTTATCTACTTAGCAACTGCATTTCATTCCCAAGCATTTACTGAGCACCTCGTGTATGAATGGTGTTCACTGGGTAGAGTAGTGGCTTTAAAACTTTTTTGCTTGCATACTTCCTAAAGCAGTTTTGAAAATCTTCATAGCTCATACATCTAAAATTTGACAGCTAAACTTCTCATAATAAATTTAAATATCTACTACAAAGGGTATAATTTTGATATATAATACATATTGAAATTTAAAAAGAAAACTCTCATCATTTAAATGTATCCAAAGAAATCTACTTACTGTGATGATTTGATATACCACAAAATACACAAACAGGCTCTTTTTTAACAGTTGGAAAATTTATATAATTTTACTCCTTTGAGCCCTTATTTTCCTTTCACTTGCCCCACAAATTTTTATCCTAATGTAACACTTTTTTTTTTTGCTTGTAGTATGTTAGTGATTTGCGCAACAAAAATAATGTACATAAATTTAAATTCATTTTGAAAAATTTTCTTGTGATCATAAAAGCACTAAATATTATGGTTTCCACAGGATTGGATAGTTATCACATTTATTAATAATACACAGTTGATCAAACTGAAATACTTGACACATTTTAATTTTAACTATTAAGGAGGAAGTAAAATTTTTTTGGAACTGTATCATGTCGTGGAATGCATGGAGATAGTTTTTTCAGTTAACTCAAGTACCCTAAGATAAATGTTGCTCATTGTAAAAATGAGTCATCATCCTATATTTTATTTATAGGTATAAGTGCCTGGGAAATCTTGTTCACAAAAGTAATTAAATGGGACTGGAAAGGATTTTGTTATAGCAACATCGCTCAATCCTCTGAACTCTTTCTGAGTTACATGCCAACAATCACATAGTAATCTGTCATCAATTTGTTTTAATAAATGTTTTATTTTAGAACAGTTTTAGATTTACAGAAGTTACAAAGCCCGTATAGAGAGTTCCTGAATATCCCTCACCCAGTTTCCCTGTTGTTAACATCTTCCATAACCCTGGTACATTCATCACAACTAAGAAACCCGCATTGGTACGTTACTGTTAACTAAACTCCATCAATCTGTTCTTTAATGGTCTATCAGCTGTTAACTCAATTTGGTATTTCTTCAGTTTTGTTGAAAGCACGGAATTAGAAACATCTGACTTGCGAAAGGATTTGTCATCCTGTCTTTGCTTTTCTTATTTCCTGGAAAGTATATCAAAAAGGCTTTACTAAGACTTACCATGTAATTGTTGATTATACCTGTCAAATCTGATACACTTGAAGTGTTAGGAAAACCAAAATAGTGATAATTTTACTATATCTTTGCTAATACCATATTTCTTGTTAAAATGCTTTCTGTCTTAGCATTTATATCAAAATCTTGGAGCATCAAATTTAGCTCATTTAATTAATGGAAAATGTTCCAGGTTAGCCACATAACCTAAATGCCAAAGCAGTCCTTATTGTTAAAGCACTTAGTAAAATTAGACCTTATTTTTCAGTGTAAGTAAAAATATTAATATGTTAATGAATTTGAGTATTAAAAGGGAAAATGGATAGGGCACGGGCCTTGCCCTGAGTTTTCTGTCCAGATCCTTCCTTCAGGAAGCCATGGCCACTTATCATATTTTATATATTTTATAATATTTCTCACCCCGTACTTTGTTGATTTGCTTCCGCTGGACCATCCTCAGGAGTAATGTCCTTTTTGATAATAATTGGGGGAAGGAAAAAGTACCTAAACAAAAATTGCTATTGTGCCCACTTTTCTCACTCAACAATATATCTGAATGCAAAAAATCCCCAAATGAGCCAAAATATCCATTTCTAATACAAGCCTCGTCCTTGACAGAAATAAAAGACTGAGAAAGACATGTATCCCTACTTGAAGGGTGGTGCTCATATTCACTCTTGGGAACTGGGAGAAATGGTTGTGAAGGGAGACCCAGCATGAAACCTTGATTGCAAGCATAGATCACTCTTAGGGCAGATCCACTTCAGGAAGAAGTACATTAGGCAGCAGAGGATCTGGAAAGTAATCATACCTCTCTACACAACATACCTTTGCAAGGCTCTTGGAAACCCCAGAGGACATATACTTCAGTCTGAACGATGCTGGAAAGAGGCCCAAGAGCCTGCCAAGATCCATGCTCACTGCAGGGGGGTGGGGCATCTCAAGGGGACAGATAGGCTCGCCAACAGCACCCATATGGATCCTTCTCCAGGGCAGGTCTTAATGAAAGAGGGTGGGAGAGTCTTGCCTCCTGGGCTCGGAGGGTTGGAGGGTGATGATCCTTGGTCTGAGTTTTGGCTCTTTGAGAACTAAGGATCCAGAGCAGTTTGGTTTTTCCCCGCAGACGTGAATACTGTACAGGCATCTAGAAAGTGAAGACCCTGAATTAAGAGACATTTACTTGGTCTAAAGTTATGCAAGTGGTTCTAAATTATCACTGTGAAGTTTTGCCTTTAGATAGCTCTTTTTTTAAGATTATAAAGGTGATGAAAATACAGTTTAGCACTCTTTACTCTTGGACTTCAAAATAAGCCTGCAGCCCCCACTTTGAAAAATGCTGAGAACTAGTAGTGGTTTAGTTTCCTGTTTTCTCTTGAGTATTATGGGCATTCACCTGCCTGTTAGAAAAGCCCAGATTCACGTGGTCTCCATCTGTGCAGGCCTCATACTGACTCTTCTGTTTGTGCAAGAAGAAGCAGGGAGAAGTCAGCAAGGCAGCCAGCGCTGACAGCACGACCGAGGGCACACCCGCCGATGGCTTCACTGTGCTCTCCACCAAGAGCCTCTTCCTCGGCCAGAAGGTAGGCAAACGCGGGCCCCGGTCTGCTTGCAGGCCCTGGGACAGGTGGGTGCCTCCACCAGCAGGAAGGCTGACTGAGGACCACTCCTGGCCTCATGGGCTGGAGGAGAGAGTGGGGCCTGGGGCGGCTTTAGGAGAGGACTCGGGGAGGGCTGAACAGGGTGCTGAGGGGAGACTGGCAGGTGGGGAGAGGAGATGGTGGTAAAGAAGAGGGACAGCAGCTCCTGTGGGGGTCGGGACACCCTGGGCTTAGTCTGTGGAAGGAGCTGTGTATATGGGATGACCTGGTCATCCTGTAGTCCTGCCCAGAAAAGCAGCTGGAAGTCAAAACTGGGTCCTAGAAAGGGAAAGATCTAGCAGGCAGCCCAGGTGTTCCGGTGGGCACGGAAGGTGGAACCTTGATCCAGGGGGCGGGATTGTTGCTAGACACACTGTGCCACCTGAGGACTCCTCAAGCCAATCGTTTGTTTGTTTTAACCGTGGGCAATATGTTTTCAGCCGCCCCAGTGATGCCAATTTGCCAGGACGCCATGGTTTTGTAACAAATGATTCACTTTTGTTGAAAATAAAAATGATGCAAAGGCTTTTAAGACCTGAGAATGAGAGTTCATATTTCTCTGTTAACGCCAAAATAGGGGGTGGAGAGAGAGTGGGAATTACTTTTCTGAATTTTTTTTATCCTACTTTAAAAAAAAATTAAAAGCATGGATTTGAGCTTCCATGTAAATCGCATTCAGTTTGCATGTGGTGAACAACTTGGTTCTGAAGCTGCATCATTTTTAAAACCTCACTGTCAGTTTTCTTTGGCATCTCAGTGACACAGTCCTGCTCACGTCATTGCAAGTGCTCCTTCTCCCCCTCCCTCTTCCTGTCGCTAATTGCACTCAGGCTCCCATGATGCAATTCCTGTGGTGGACTCTGTGTTCCAGCAAATAACCATTACAGTGTACATTTTATAACCATTATCTGTATTTTGTATGCATTTTTCAAAGGAAAAAATAAGCAGCACTATCTGTCATCTTAAGGTCTGGGGCTTTGAAAGTTTTTGTTTAAAATATTTTTTATTTATAAAATTTCAGCTCAGCAGTGAAGGCAACCACCTGGGTTTACTTTCACACCCTTTAACCTGTCCTTTGGGTAATATATTGAAAGTTAATGTGACCTGTCATCCTAATTGCTTTGGTTTGAACTAAAGTGCAAAGAAGCTCTGCGATTTAGGACTAGCTCCAGTGTGCTTCAGATCCCTAATGCTGACGATTAGAGCCAGGACTTGGAAACCTGTTAAGCAGGTAGAACAGTTCAGTGCCTGGGTCCACCCTCTCCCTCACTCCTTCCCGTACCCTACTCTCGCGTGCCCTGGCCTCTCCCTTCCCTGTGCTCTTCTCGCTCTCTCCTGCTGGTTACCCCAAAGCCAGCATCAAGTCAGAACTCCTCACACCCCCTTGCTGGATTTCCGGAATAGCCATACAAATGTCCATGTACAAATGGAGATGCCCTTCTTGCCCTTCTTGGCCTTGGGATCAGGGCCTCGTCTGCTGCATACGAGCCCTGGAAGGGAAGGGAGGCAACAAAGACTGCAGACACATTGCTAGCTCCTCTGTGACCAAGCAGTGCCTTCTCTTCTCCATTTTGGGTACAGCCTGGTCCCAGGCCTCAGGACCAGGCACCACAGGCAGGAGAGTACCAGAAAGTGCAAATCCAGCTAATACTGACTATACGCCACTCACGGTTGGGGAGGGAGAGTCCAAAAAGCTATAGAGAAGCACTGATACTCTATAGTCATTTACAGGCATGTTATCTAATATTATTTAGGAGATAGAGGAAAATGGAAGATGGAGGCTTGACAGAAAAACTAATGTGGCTTTTTGATATCTTGACTTTTGGAGGGAGAGCCTGAAGGGACTGGTTGAACTGGAGCCCAGTGTAACATGGTCAGCTGTGAGAGAAGGGGCTGAGTGCAGAGCCAGAAAGTACACCTGCCTTCTTTCCCGTATCACACAGTCCGGTGTGAGTGGTGAGAACAGAACCCCAAACTACCACAAGGCGGCCCTTTGCTTCCAGCTTAATGACCCAGGACACACGCATCCAGGATGAGCTACCCCCAAATCCAGCCCTGCAGGTGCCCTTTAGCAGAGTAAACTGTGTCTCCCCAAAAGTGGTGTCACAGAATAAAGCATCATCTCAAGTCAGCCTGGGCACCCTGTTAGAAGCTAGTGTCCTAACAGCCCTTTCTGGAACCCTGTGCCCTGCAGCATGAGAGGGAATAAGTATTCATAGTTGAGAGCGTTATTTTGAAGCAGGGCTTTCTGGCCCTTTATAAATAGTTTTTACTGTCAAGTGAAAGTCATGGCATTTAGTGCAAAAGGGGCCAGAGTGGTCAAACTGACACACAGGAATTTTTACACAAAGCACATTTTAAAATGTCATTATTACAGACATTAATTTTGACTTGGATCTTAGGAAGTGTTTCAGAAAGGGTGCTTTCCCATGGTGACTGTATGGTGCTCTGTGTTCTATGAGTCTTACTTTCCACCTGTAACAGTGAAACCAATGCTGGGATAGTGCAAAGCAAGCTGAGGTCAGAAAGGTGATACTGTGCTCGCTACAGCCCTGAAAGGCACAGTTGCTAAGCTACTTGCAGGAGAAGCTGGCCCAGGGCTTAGGAGCCTGGGATCCAATTGTTGTTGATGATAATGTATCTCACATACTGACGTCTCAGGAGTAACCGCCCTCATTGCTCTCTGATTTTACCCAGTATTCACACACATTGTTGAATTGTTTTCAAAAGGGAAACAGTGCTGTGAATCTGAATCGACTAAATGTGTTTGCTTTGTGGTTCAGTGGAGATTCTCAGCTTCTTCTCAAGATTTAAAAAGCTTAATGTCCAAAAAAAGTGCATTTCTATAAATCTGTGTCAGTGGTAGTAAGCGATGTAGGCTTCCTTGGAAGAGTCAGTATTATTAGAAGCAGTTGGGAAAGCAGTGTCAGGAGGGCATGCGTGTGTGCCTCCCCAGCTATCAGGATTGCAGTCACAGCCCTGTGGGCCGCTAGAGGCAGGGGTAGGTACCATGGGTTTTCTTCCTCAGATCCAGACACCCTAGTCCCGGGGGCTGGGGAACAGTAAAGAGAGAGGGAGCTCTTGAAGCAGGAATGAGGAGGAAAGGCCCACCACCCTCTTCCACCCTATGGCTGACGACTGGCTTCTGAGACAGTTTAGGACGCTGATGAAGCCATGCTTCTGGGCCTCCAGCAGTGCACACAGCTGTCCTTGTCTTTGTGTGGCACATTCTAGCCTGAAACCCACCCGATGCCACCTCCAGGCCTGAGGCCTCTGGGGGAATTCAGGCTGGAGATGCGTGCAGGCTGGCAGCATAGCACAGAGGAAGGAGTCCCTCCACCCCAGAGGCCAGGGCAGGAATGGGCCCTGGAGCAGGCCACAGGGAACACATGGTGATTCATGAGGAAGTGGAAACAGTTCTGTGGAAGACCTCACCTCTCCATCTTCCTTAGTTAAAGTGGACCCTGGGGACAGGAAAAGCGTTGCATTTTATGTGGTGGGCACAGGGAAAGGAGTCTTCCTTGTCCATTGTGAGGGAATGAGAGATACGAACAGGCTAGTCTGGACAGTGACAGGCTAGACTTAACAAGTCACTCAGATAATCTTTAAAAATCACGTTTATTTCCTAAAATTGAATTTCTGATCACATATGTGTAAAAAAAAAAAGGATTGTACTATTTCCCGTAGCCAAGGAGGTCATGTCAAGGCAGCCCAGATGTCCATCCAGTAGCCCCAAGCCACCAGCTCCTTCCTTATCATGGGCAGGCTGCCTCCCGACCTGCTCTCAGTGGTGGGTGCTGTCCTCCCTTCCAGGATAGCCAGGTTAGCTCTGAGCCACCTCAGGTCCCAGCCAGGCCAAGGGCCCGGTTCCTGAGCTCTGGCCTTTCCGTTAGCTCTGCTTTCGGGGAAGCGGTTTGTTCACTTCATCTTAAAGTTGTGTCTGGATGTTTGACATTCAGTTCCAGCTCTGTTTGTGGGCCTACAGAAACCCGAGCACTGTCTTAGGTATTGGATGGCCCTTGGGCAGGAGGCAGCCTGCACTTTGCCTTCAAGGAGCTTGTAGCCTAACGAGTTCACATCAGGAGTAGACAACAAGGGTTAACTGGGCATAACCCCTCGAGGGGAGACTGGGTACTGTAGACATCAGAGGCTGGCTCCAGTAGAGGCCACTGACATGAGCATCATCAGGTCCCCGTGGTTTAAGAGATCTTGAAGGACACTTAGCTCAGTCCCCTTCCCCCAACCCTGCAGCCAAGTGGGACCCCCCTTCTGCTCTATAACTGGCACTCTCTCCAGTGGCCAGCAATCTTCACAGATACTTTAAATTCACCATTCTGTGGTTTAAAACTTAGTTTTCCATCTTTCCCAATGTTAAGACAAGGAAGTAGTTACCTTGTTCATATTCTGAAATCATTAATGACCCTCTTCCCTCCCAGAAAATCAGACTAAACTTGGGAATTTTCACAGTTTCCCAGAAATCTGATTTCCCAGCCCACAAATACCCCTGCTCTGCCATGTGCTTCAGACAGCTGTGGGCCCCTTTGGCTAAGAGGCCCAGGTGAATTTGACCCTGGGTGGGCTTAGGGGGGCCTGGGACCTCCTAGGACTGGGCATCTATCCTGGGCCTGCCCGGCCTGTTGGTGTGTGTCCTCGGCACAGTGAGATCCTTTTCAGGCATGTGTATATGTGGCCTCTGCTTATCCTTCTCCTGTCCAGGGGAGCTTCTGTTCTTGTTTCATGACCAGATGATCAGATCACTGTTGGCTTCTGCCCCCTGGGCCAGCCTGCCCAAGCCAAGATGATTGCCCATCTGTCTTTCCAAAGTGCCTGAAGCAATTTGTCCTCTCCCCTCCCCATTCCTCTCCCAAACACACAAACACAGACCGCCCCCCTCCCCCAAGCACATGCTTTATAGTCCTCTATAATTGTACATTTTTAATAGCAACACTGTTTTGTGGCTCAGCCCCTCACCCTGAGGACTTCTGCTGAGCCTGGTACCCAGCAGAGCATGAGGTGGGTGAGAGTGAGACTGCACTTGGTTAGCTGGGGCTTCTCCATGCTGGTGGCAGTGGCTCCCTGATGTGCAGGATTCAGTGCTTCCAAGAGCGGGGCTGCTTCTGCTCAGAGGGAAGGTGGTAAGCCCTGAGTCAGCTGGGAATTCTGTTTGCAACCGCTCCCTCGCTTCAGCAAGGCCACAAAGCCCTGCACTTTGCCCCAGAAAGCCCTAAAGAGCAGCGGGAGTGCTCCCCAGGCAGAGGCAGAGACAGTCTACCAGGGTCTCCCCGGCTAGTTGAATCAGAGCCCATGGCAGGAGCTGATTTTCCGGTGAGACATTTCTGAATACAAATCCAGAAGTGTGTATACAATTAGAAAAAAATATTATGAAGTTTAAAGATTTAAACATGTATGGTTTTTAAACAAACAAAAAAGGAATCTCCTAGATGTCTTTAAAGTGTATTCATTCATTAACACCAAGTGAAGTGTTCTTTTCCCTTTTTTCTCCTTTCCCTTCCTCCCCCAACAATCTCCTGCTGCTTCACACAGTGTAGGTTTTTATTTTTGGTGGGGAGCAGGGAGTACTGGCTTAATTTGAGTTTTTATAAACAGCATTTGCTTGAAGTCATATGCAGTGCTTACATGATACCATAATCAAACCCTTCACCCTTGTCCTGAACCCTAAACCTTCACTTGCCTTACTCTGAGACCCCCCCCCCCCCCCCCACATTGTGTGCCCATCCACACCCCTTCCCCCTGAACCAACACCATTAGCACCCTCTCCCTGATGCTGTCTCTTCTGTGCCTCTGTCCTGGCACCAGGACCTGTGCTCTGAGAGCTTCACTGTGTGAGGGCACCCCAACGGGCTTCCTTCAGCTTCAGGAATTCCAGTGGCTGGCCCCTAATTACCCTGCAGTGCTGGGAACCACACCCCAGAAAATCCAAGTGGAGAGAGCTTGTACCTCTTCTCTCTTCGAGCCCTAACTAAAAATGAGGCGTACCACACTGTGGCAGGGCCTAGCCAGAGTCCTTCCCCTGGCCATAAGACCAAACTCATTTCCACAACTTTCAGTCTAAGCAGGTCCCTTTTTTGAGAATCTGCTGATTACATCTGGGAATCAGAAATGTGGGTTTATATTTCTACTGCTTATAGCACATCAGGTTTTTTGTTTGGTTTTGTTTTCAACAAAATGTTTGGCCCCAGAAATTCAGGGACTTGGAGCTCAGTTGCCAAGAGCTTCCCAGCTGAGTGTCTGCACACGGCCCTCTCCTGGGAGTGAGCGCCTGGACTAAGCGCCTGCCCTGCTGGGCCCTGAGGGTGCGGTCAGCTCCCCAGGCTGGGACTGCAGTTGGTCTTGGTCATCCGCTTCTCTGGGCATTGCTCTCTGCTGCATCTGGTAGGAACGTCTGTCACTGAAGAATAGCCATCTTCCCTGAGAGAGTGTGCGTGCTGAGCTGCAGGCGCTTGGACCTAAGAACAGGAAGGGGATCCTGGGCCAGCTAATTCCCCCTGCCCTCTGACAGCCAGTCTAGAACTTAGGATTCCTCTCAAACTGAGGGTTGCCATGGCACCAGAGTAACAGTGGGGAGGGAGGACATTCAGCGGTTCTTTACAAAGGCTCAGGTGGTAGGGTACTCCTAAAACTCACTCAAAGAAAATGCTCTACCCCTTGGGCCTCAGAGTAGCCTCACCAACAACGTGAACAGTTTAAAAGACACACTATCTTGCTGGAGAACTGCTGTGTCTCTTCCTGGGTTTGGCCAGAACTTCAGTATTACATGACTAACAGGCACGTAAAATTAGATGTTACTAAATAACAGGCCATTCTTGCTTCTCACCACCCCTGAGCAGGGCACAGGAGCCAGCCAGCTAGTAGTCACGGTGATGGGGACAGCCTCAAAGACCCATGACCACTGGGAAGAGAATGGTAGAGCTACGAGGGGTTTGCCCAAACCAGCTAGGACTTCCGCACCATCCCAGTGCTCAAAGAAGGGGACGGTCACGTATACCACCCCACCCTACCCCAGCAATGAGTACTTGACTCTGGGTCCTGAGAGCTGCTGTACTTGGGCCCCCAGATCACAAGTTCTTTTCAAGGGAAGTGGATCCACCAGCCTCATATGGCTTATGCCTCCCTTTGGCCCCAGGCATCACCAGGCAAACACGTTCTGGACCCTCAGCCTAGCTTGCTTCCTTTTAGCATCCCGAGTGGCATTTGAGTCTTTCGTTTGACACGGATTCAGTTTAGCCAGTGACTCCCTCTTCCCCTTTGTGCCCAGTGCACCTGGAGTGTCCACTGCCCTTCATCTGTATCCCAAGGCTCACGTCTCTGTGACTTCCCAGCTGTCCTGTTATTTCCCACCTCATGCTTTTCTTTTCAGCTGAACCTTATTCACAGTGAAATCAGTAATTTAGCCGGCTTTGAGGTGGAGGCCATAATCAATCCTACCAATGCTGACATTGACCTTAAAGATGACCTAGGTAATTGGGGATGGGGTTTGGCACCATCAGCTGTCAGTTGAAAAGTTATGGAACCCAGAATTTTGGCTCTTCATCTTCTCAAACTTCAGATGGTCAAACCAAATTCTCAAAAGCAAGATTAATGTTTGAGGGTAGACATTGAATGTCTACTTACTTCAAGCCATTCCAAATGGGAATGATCTGATTATGTCTTATTAAGCCCGATTGGCTGCTTTCTCCTTGATTATAAATATATTGCCATCTAAATTCTCTTCCATAATGATCACACTGACTGCTGGTTACTCGGGGGGGATTTTTTAAAACTGTGTTTTTTTTGTTTTTTTTTTTGTTTTTTTAAGAACTGAAAAATCTCAGGTAACTACAAAATGATAGTTTCTCCATTTAAGCCTTAATTAGAAATGACAAAGCATGAAAACACTTGAGAAGGGAGACAATTAAGCTGCATCAGTATACTATTAAGTTGTCTTTAATCCACCAGCAAATTGATTTCCCCCAAATTTACCACCTACTGTCACTTCGACTTCTACAACTGAAAACAGTATATGACTGAGTGCCACCTTCATGAATTACTTGGCTCGTGTATGATATTAAAAAGAAGGGCAATATCTCTTTCTGAGTGAGTTCTTCCAGAGGAAAACTGCCCCAGAGCCATGGCATCTCCCTGCGCAGGAGGGTGGACGGTTCAGGGCAAGCTGAGGGCTACCCCTCAGGTGTCCCACTCTGTGGCCTCACCTTTACAGAGAAGAACTGTCAGCTTAGGGCACGGTGAAGGCTCCTGTTTCCTTAGCTGTGAGCCTTGCAGGGGCAACAGGCTAGCAGGTTCCCACCAAGGCAGCCTTGTGCCTGATGCTGACTTAGGTATGTTTTGTGTATCTTTAGTTCCCATCTTCGGCCACCTTTGTAAGATGGCAGATTTCCTTACCGGGAGAGATGCTCATGCCAGAGCCCAGGCCCGACCCACACAGACTGGGTACAGTAGTGGGCTGAAGACATGAGAACTGGGACTCAAAAATGCCCTGCTTGAACTTGTTTTCTAACTGCCTTAAACAGATACTTTCTTTAAAAAGACAAAAACAAACCCCCACAAGCTAGAAAAAACTAGGATCCTGTCTATCCATAGTATATTTTATATGTAAAATACATAAAAATGAGATTGATCAGAATAAGAGGTAGGCTGGAAAAATATTTTTACACATCGAGGGGGAAAAATAAAGGCATTCCTCTGTGCACACCTATACTGTTTTCTCAGTTTTCAAGAGACGTCCCTCGAAGGTAGACAAAATGATGACCATCACAGGAATAAAAATCAAACCCTAAAAGGGGACTACTGCCGATAAAATGGAGAAACTTGTTGTTTTGGTTCGCCTGATAGTCCACGTTTTTTAAAAACAGATGCCATGTTTCAGTAGCCTTCTCAGTGGGGTGCCAGTCTCACAGGCTTTTGCGAAGTGAAGTGGGGCATTCGTTGTTTTGTTATTTCTTTTAACCTTTGGAAATGATCTCATGTGTCTGTTTCTCTTTTTTTGGACTTGTCATTCAAATGTTTAATTTAAACATGTCACATTTGATATTCCTCCTCCTCCTCTCCTCACCCCCATCCACATGTGCGCACACTTCGTGGACTGATTGCCCTTTTGGCTCATATGTTGGAATCGACCAGGTAGGCCAGCCCTGCCATTGGGGCCTTAGTAAATGTGCCTGTGCGTGGGTCTCGGTCCAACACAGTTGATATACATCTGTTTACCTGTTATAGTTGCAAGTTGTACAGGCTGACATTGCCTCGATCGACAGTGATGCTGTCGTTCACCCGACAAACACTGACTTCTACACCGGTGGTGAAGTAGGTAATGCCTAGCTGGGTGCTGCCGAGTGTGTGTGTGCATGGTCAGTCAGCCGCCGCAGACAGCTTGATCCTTTGACAGCTATGCAGGGCTGCATTCATTTCACACTTCCAGCTGTCCTGACCTTCCCCAGGTCTCCTGTCCCCGGGTTGTGAATGCGAGAACTACAGCTAACTGTCAGCCAGGTTGCATCCTGCAGCTCACAAATGGGCACACTTCTGGTTTGGAAACTGGTTCAGCAACGTTTCTTCACTGCTTCCTGAGGCACAGCTTTGTGGGAGACTGGGTTCACACGTGATTTGAGCTGCAAGCGGGATGCAGACAGATCGGCTGAGTGGCATCCAGGACCACTTCTGCGCCCCCCCGTGGACCAGATACACAGGAATGCCTATGCATGGGTCTGTGTCAGAAGCACACTCATTCCTGAGATGGCCTTCAAGCCTTAGATGCACGTGGGGGGAATTTTAGAACACTCCCACACTCAGGGGTTCTCAGGCCTTATGTGTACGAAAGCCACCTCATTCTGATGTGCTGTTCCTAGATCACTCTTGAGAAACACTCTCCTAGACCCAGAAAGCTCCTTCCTCTCCTCGGCAGCTGACACACATGGTCAGTTGGCTTCTGGCACTGAGTAGCTGAGGGTGGGGTGAGGCGGAGAGAGCATGTGGCGTGCCAAGTACTATGACTGCAGACCCGCTGCACGAACATAGATAGTGCCCTGCTTTAAGAATGTGTTGAGGGGCCTTTATAATGAGGAGGCATCCAGGTGTGATGGCAAAAAAGTACAGGTTTGGAGCTAGGTAGAAGGATCCTGAATCCTAACCTTACCATTTACTGGCTATGGGGCCTGGGCAAGTCACATAACTCCTCAATGCCTTGGTCTTCCCTATCTGTAAAATAATGGTGATGAAGAGAATTATGTTAAGTCATGTAACCAAAGCACCCTGCTTCATTGCCTGGTTCATGATAGGCGCTTATTGCAAAGGTCTTGCTCTCAGGTGCGTATGTGATTTTTACAGTAGGTGTGCTGGTGCTGAGAGCAGCATTCTGAGTATAGA